TTATAATAAACAAACCTCGCTACTACAAAATTTTAACAAAGTTCGTTAAAGAACAAAACTACTGAAATAATCAGAAATATTCAGGAATAATCAGAGCGTCTGCAAAACCCCACAACAAGGCCACGGAAATCCTACAAGGTTATATCTCTTTAATCGAGCCCAACAATTTTGTTAAGTTCCTTTCTATATGTGCTTATAGCTACATCAAAAATACCGCAAGAAATGCCTTCGGAGTGTACATTAAACAAAAGACAAATTTTTTCTACTGGACCATGATTATCCGCACGAAAAGTTAATTGACGTGGACGAATACCTGCTATTGGAACATTAATTTTTATTTGACTCAATAAATATTGACTGTCCAAATATCCATTTAATAATTTATGTAAAAAGATAAGGTTGATTATAGAGCGTCTATGTTCCAATTTTTCAATTTCAAACTCTTTTCTAATAGGTCCAAATGAAACAAATCCTGGACTTGTATGATACTTTTTAAAGTATAAATATTTGACAAATTTATTTTGAATAGTTTCCAAAATGTGTTTTAAATTTTGTTGTGTAGGGTCCCATACAGTGGATGCATATTCTAATTTACTACGAACGAGAGCAAAAAATACATTTTTAATCGAGTGTGTGTCTGTAAAGTCCCTAGTCGTGCGTTTCAAAAAACCTAACAATTTGTTAGCTTCTTTGGTAATGTTATGGATATGCTCGTCAAATTTGAAATTATTTTGAAAAACTATTCCCAAGTCGGTCATTTTTGACACTCTTTCTAGTGTTGATCCTTGCATTGTGTAGATAAAATTTTGAGGATTACGAATGTTACTGAATGTAATAACCTTGCATTTGGAAAGATTAAAATGTAATTTATTTTCAAATGACCAATCCGAAATTGAGTCTAAGTCATCTAGGGTGGATATTTTCTTAAAAACTTTCAGATCATCTGCATACATTAGGCAGTCTGATGTAATACGTAGAGGAAGGTCATTAACAAATATTAAGAAAAGTAGAGGACCCAAATTGGAGCCCTGAGGGACCCCAGAGCCTGCGAGGATTGTATGAGATACTTCACCACCAAACATTACGTATTGATACCTTAGTTTTAGATAAGACATAAAGAAATTTATTAGATGATCGCTAAGACCATAATATTTCAGTTTAGCTAGAAGAATATTGTGATTTACCTTATCGAAGGCTTTCTTAAAATCAGTATAAATACAATCTACTTGCTCACGGGAATTGACACATTTTGATATTTTATCACTGAAAGTTAATAAATTTGTATCTACAGATTTTTTACGACAAAATCCGTGTTGTTCGGTTGATATGTATTTTTGAAAGTAAGCATACAGTTTATCATATATTACAAATTCAAACAGTTTCGCCGTACAATTTAATATGGCTATGGGACGATAATTATCTATTTTATTTTTATCCTCTTTTTTAAAAATTGGTGTTAATCTCGTTCTTTTAAATTCACTAGGAAATATGGATGTTTTAAGCGACTTATTAAAAATTACCAGCAAAGGGTATATTAAATAATCTTTACAAGCTTTTAGGATATAACAAGGAATATTATCAGGACCCGCTGTCTTTTTCGGTTTTAACTTTCGAAATGCCGCTTCTAAGTCTTTGACGGATATTAGATCGAAGTCAATATTCTGATAAAAATTTACGTTCCAATTGTTAGTCAAACCATTAATATCTATAAGGTTATAGTTTGAATCGTTGTCATACACTGAACTGAAATAATCAGCGAACTCCCCTGCTATAATTTTTTTGTCAGATATTTCCCTATTATTTATAATAAAATTTGATTCAGATATATTATTAGACCTCTTATCTTTAATGAACTTCCAAAAAAGCATGGGGTCCTGGTTAACACAGTTCTGCATATTTTGGATATAATTATTGTGCGCCGTCCTTATTTTCAATTTTAGGTCCGCCCTAATTTTTTTATATCTACTAAAATAATATTCCGATAGATGTTTTCTTTTTCTGAAAAATTCTTTGTACTTTATGTCGATTTTTATTTCATCCGTGAACCATGGCGGAAACTGTTTGCAATATGCATGTGGCCTATTAGTAAACTTTGGTACACATATGTCAAGCATTTCATAAAAAACCTGGTAAAAATATTTGACAGAATCATCAACCTTTTCAATGTGTCCAATTTTGGACCAATTAAAATCCCTTAGTAGTTCGCATAGTAATCTAAAATCAGCTTTTGTAAAATTATATCTGCTTTGAAGATTATTATTTGTGTATGTGAGTTGATTACTTTTTTTTACTTCCGTCTTAATTATCAGAGAGGGATGTTTATTATCTATGGGAACTAAAGGTTCTTTATTCTCCTTTATATTCAAATTCAAATTACCAAGCACCAGATCTAGAGTTTTTTGATCCTCATTGAGACAATTGTTGAAAGACTGTAGACTGTAAGTGGCCATTAATAGAGACATTGTTACTATTATATCATTTTTATTAGAAAATTGAAAAGATGTGCCATTTATGCATGGTATATTGTAATCACCAATAAGTACCATGTGTGTGGTTTGAGTGATTAAGGGATCTAAATTGTCAAATAAATCTAGATATTGCCTGTAGACTTTAGCATTTGCGCCCGGTGGAATATAAGTTGAATTAATAATGACTGTGGTTCCGTGTAGTTTAAGTTTTACAAAAATTGTTTCCAAAGGTGAGTTAATTGATATAAGTGAAGATATGATATTTTTATTTACAGCAATGAGGACACCTCCTCCGCGTTGTTTTCCTGTTAAAATTTTATCCCTATCCTTTCTATATACTATGTAATTGCAACTAAATAGTTCTCCATTTTTAATGTCTTCTGATAGCCAAGTTTCCGTCAAGATAACAACATCATACTCTTCTGCAGACAAGTTTTTGCTAAACTCCGAGACCTTGGTGCGGAGTCCCCTGACGTTCTGATAATAAATATTTAAAAACATATAGCGTTGCGAGAAACGTAAAAAATATGTAGAATATGAAAATTAAGTACAAAAACAATATGTATATGTTGATATTGAGCTAGCGCATATAAATGTGTTATTCTAAGAACGTTTTCTCGGCCCCAGCAATTTAAATATATAAAAAAATCTGTAAAATATGTGGCAAATTAGTTAAGTAAATAAATTTAGTAACAAATAGAGCGCAAGTAGATACTTAAGTTGCTGAGAGAAAAGAATAACAATAAATAATTTTATTCTAAAGTAAATACCAAAGAACAAAAATTAAATAAATATTTTTATCCTTCATTATTGATTATAATGGATCCTGCTACTTTACTACATATTAATGAAAGCAAGAAATAAAAATAAATGTTTACGAGTAGATATATATCTACTTCGTATTCAAAAATATCTAGAGTTTATAAAAACTTAAAAACAATAATTTAGAAATAGGTATTAAAATAAAAATGTATTCCACAATAATTGAGAAAAAAGTTTAGCAAATAATATTCGCGAGGAAAGGTCGTTAGAAACGAAATAATCTTGAACCTCCGAAGAAAGATTACGGGACATCAATGAGGTCGTCAAGACATTTAATTTCTTTCTTCATATTAATATGTTGTATGAACACCTTACCTCCCATAGTCCAACTTAATGTTCTTCCGTATTTTTTCTGCGCCAGTTGCAAAAGTTCATACGTTTGTTGAGAAAGGTCCTCATAAATAGTAATACCAGTCTGCTTGAGTGCCTTTTTAGCTTGAAAACACTCATTTTTCTTCTTTGTTGATAGGAATTTAACCAAAATAGTTCTAGTTCCCGACTTTTTATTTGCAATACCAATTCTGAATATATCATCAATGTCATTGGAGGTACAAACAACTTTCAGTGCGGTGTTAATAAATTCTAAAGTGATATCATGAACACTCTCATTTTCACTTTCTTTGAGCCCATTAATTCTTATTGTGTTCTTTCTTTTTAGGTGATCCATAAATCCGTTAATATTACAGATTTCCTTTTCATTCTGCTGTACTTTCTTTTCAATGTTACTAACATCAACTATTAGCTTGGATACATTTCGTGTTATATCTTCTAATTTTTTATCAATCTTTTTTTCTAGTTTGCACGCAAATTTTTCGCATACCTTCTCCATTAACTGTTCAATTCGTTCGTCTGAGGTGAGACCATAATCGTTTTCCATTTTTGTTTCGTTAGATTCGGAGACAGAATTGGCCCGTGAACTTTTATCGGAGGACCGAGACTGTTTTGGCGGCATTGCTTGGATTTGCCGGTAATGTTCAAATCAAATTTACTCTATTTATATAACAATTGATATACTAGATGTCTTACTCACATGTGAAAGTATGCTTTCCACAGGTTATCACAATAAAGATACTAATTTTACTTATAGATTTGCCACTTAAAATTGTAAGTACAGCTGGAGCTCGAATACACGTCTACTCACTAGAACAACACATGCTAGTTAGTAGACTTAATTTCCTAACTTAATACCTAGAGTACATGGTTCTTTAAACGAGCATGTCTTAATAATTTAGAACAAATATTGTAATGCAGTGTTTTCAGTCTTAAATACCGTTGTTTTATTTTTGGTCTTACTGCAAGTTCCGCGATGCTGGGGGATTATGTTTAAATAAAACATATTTCTGATAAATTTTATAACGAACCGGCAACATCGCAAAAGTTTAGGTTGGTTTAACAAAGAAGTGTAGAATAATGATATAAAAAAGAAAATCTGTATATTCATTTTTCAGAATTGGTCGATTCAAGGCAAAATACAAAAAAATTCCAAACGGGATTGCAAACATTTTTCTGTTTACTCATAAATAATTCAAAGATTTTTATCAAAAAAAAGTACCTAAGCCTGTGCGTCAAAATAATCTAGCAGATACATTTTAAGTAAGATAAACCGATATGAACTCGAATTTGGTCATAAATAGAATTTAATAATACAAAAAAATAGTATCTAACTAAGTACACAGAGTAGGTAGTAGTGTAGAATACATTCGCAGCACAATGATATCACCATTAAAAATTTCTGGATATCTTTTGTTTCTGTCCACGGTGACGTGTTTAGTGGTTGTTTTAAAATCTGAAGGTAAGTAAAAATGTTTTATTACAATTATTTGATTAATTATAAAAATACCAATAAAGCAATTATTAGAGATTAAATATCATTAAATAAAGTTGGAAGGATTAGTCTAAAAAAAAATAGTTTCTACTACAATTTTCACCAAATTATCTTATATGTTTTCTCAGAAAATGGAGCGCCATTTAAAATTTTAGAATCACACACCAATACCTTTCTAATGTCAAACTTTTGTTTCACTGCCCGAAATAAAAACAATGTTTAAAAAAATTATTAGGTCAATATAACTACCTAATATTTCAATACATTTGAATCATACAAAATTTTAAAAATATAATTCATCAATTACACAAATTAATTTTTAAGATCTTACCTCATCGGTAATAAAAATGATATTTTAAATTCCTACATATATACAGTGAGTTTCATGAGTTGAGTCTTTTCTAATAACATAGAATTCAATTAAACATGTACAAAGTTCAAGTAACTTTTTTCTTAAACTCAAAAATTGACGTGACCTTTCCAGTACTGTCACCCGGGGTGAAATCGGACGATTTTGGAGTATTTTTGCAAATAGCATCTGCAGTTTTTATTTAAAAAATGTGAAAAAATTAAATTAGATACTTGTATCCTTTATCTTGTCATTCCATATCTTAATATTTTTTGTTTTTCATATATAATATAGTGTCCGAATTCACCTCTATGTCTGAGGTGATTTTGGACACTAATTGTTTGTAGCTTAAAATCGAATTATAGAATGCACTGATGTTTATTCGGATACAAAAAATAAAAAAATAATATCCTGTAACACATGTAAATGCAAAAGGTCAAATTTTGATCATGGGTTATTAGAAAAACATAATATTTGAGAAACGTTCGACATTTTATTTAAAAACAATAAACAAAATTAATTTTCTACCTACTAAAAAATAACAAATTAAAAAAAAAGAAAAAACACATTCTTTAATAATAATATGAAGAAAACTGAACAAATCTTTGGGTGTGAGTAGGAACATTGCATATTTTCTATAAACTAAGAAGTGTTTATTATCTGGAAATATAAACTAATATCGGCCCCTTGAAACTTTTACAGATCGTGGGCGAAGGATTAATGGGTGTCTTTCAATTGCACTTTCATCTTTAATCTGGGGATAAGAAATAATAATATCCCATCTTGGGAGAATCGTGCTTTCTTAGGAAATGAACCATATATGTATCAGGATCAATCACTTCCTTGACACAGGCGACATAGTTTTTTGTTAACTTTTTGTTGGTCAATTTAACTATGACAAAATTGTCAGGTGTTACAACTGCGTTTTCTGGGCTCTCAAATGAATCGACTTTCTCATTATTTTCGTTTTGGATGGTACCTGCACCGTCAACCTCACATTCTTCTTCGTCGTAATTTTCAATTTCTTGTTCGTCGTCGTGATTCTCAATTTCTTCATCTGTTGCTTCGTAATCATCATTTCAGATGTCTAACTCAGATGGAAAAGCAGAGTTCTGTCTATTGGAACATTTCACAGCTTTCCCCGGAGCAACATTGAGTTTCCTGTCCCTTCTACGCCTGAGCTCTTCAACAAATCGCTTACCATTGAGTAAGCCGACAAACGTTTAGGACCATTCACCAGCAACTTCAGCTTCATCTCTTGATATTGGAAGTTTTTTAATAGAACCTCTGGATCCAGTAAGAAAATCCCACATGCTCAAAATCCCGACTTGACGGTCTGCATTGTTGGCGTCATTTTTTTTTCTGGTAGGGTGGGAATCCATTACGGATACCAGGCATGTGCAAGGCCGGTATACCCACTAAAACCACCCTTAAAGCATTGTGGGTCTTCTTGGAACTACCTGCTGGCCTTACTTCGAGAAGACGCTTTGTTATTTGATGTTTTGGGCTTATCTCATAATGTCATTCATGTCTTTTCTTTTAGTGGACATAATAATAAAGGCTGTGTTATTTACAAGTTCCCATGTTTTCTTCGATTCCATAATTCTACTTACGAGAGTTTCTGGTCTTATCCTCCCTGGAAATATTTCTAGTTGCCATCTTTCGTTTTCCCATCTTTGGCATTCGAAGAACGTATGTTCGGCTGTATCCCGCATGCCACACTAGATACAGTCAGCTGTATCACTTAGGGCCGTTTGCACCACTTCAACTTATGATTACGGTTTAGCTAAGGTGTACCTTGACTTAAGGTGAACCTTAAGTTTGGTATGTTTTGCATAGGTTTCACTTAACAAAATCTATGCTAAGGTGAAGAACAACTTGGCAGCAGTGTAAAATTTTAGAGAATTTTTGTATATTACTAATCAATGTCAGTGTCGAATTGTCATCTATTTAATTAAAGTTTGTGTTGTAATTTTGCATTTTGTACTTTAACAGTTAAGATGGAAAATAAAACAAAATTAAAAACTGAAACCAATCGTGCACCAAACTATTCAGTTAAAGAAAAGAGTTTATTATTAAACATTCTATACCGCTATCAAAACTTTCAAAATATTGAGTTCTGTGATAAATATGTCGAGATATCCCAAAAATAATTAAATTTAACTCATCAAAATCATCATCATCATCATCGAAAAAATGTTCCAAAAATTCCATTTATACTTTATTTCGGCCACACTTTTATCTAATTCTAATTATATTATTTTCTATTGATAAACATATTAAACTTGTCAGATTGACGTTAAAAACACGCAAAGTAGAACTTAAACCGATGATACCTTCGGCTTAGTTTCACTATTACTTAAGTACAACTTAAACTATTTGGATTGTGGTCAGAAAATGAAATGTGCAACTTAGGTGATACTCAAAGTTAAGGTTCACCTAAGAGGAAGTGATGCAAACGGCCCTTAGTCCAAATCTATGTAAATAGGCCTGAAAGGCTCCGTGTCCTGTTAGTATTTGCGAAAGAACGTATTTTACTTCTCCGTGTTTCCTAGTCATCCATGGTCTTATATGTGGCACCAATCTCTTAGTCCAGTTTGCTTTTCCGTCGTCTATTGCCCACGTCGCTTGCCATTTTTCTATTATTTTATTTCGAGCGCTGGTCTTGGGTTCATTACCTTCTTCAACCATAATTCGTTTTTCCACAAGTAGATTTATCGGCGGCATCCTCGCAATTAGAAGTAGCGCACTTGTTGATGTTGCCGGTACGCACTAGTTATTCTTATAGCCGTTTTTCGTTGTACTCTCTGTAGGATGTCTCTATAAATTTTCTTCTCAATTGCTCTTTTCCATATGCTTGCAGCGTATAGAATTATTGACTGTATCACCGAACATAATATTCTTCTGTTATTTTCCCTTGGTCCTCCCAGATTTGGCATTATGCGACTAACGCTTTCGTGGCCTTTTCAGTAATCATACGGATATGTTGTCCCATTCTCATATTTCTATCAAAATACACGCCAAGGTATTTGCACATTTCCTGGCTTTGTAATTAAACATCTTCAACTTTCATTGATATGGATTTATCTTTTCTACCACTTACCAACATCACAATTTCTGTTTTGTGTGGTGCGAGTTTAAGGCTTTTATTTTTCATCCAGCTGGTTATGATTTTGACAGCTCTGTTAGCTTTCCATTCGATGTCTATGATATTTTTCGCTGTAACCAGAATTGCCAGATCATCGGCATATCCCACTAACTTTACCCCGCTAGGCATTGGAATCCTAAGCACTCCGTCGTAGTATATATTCCAGAGGATAGGCCCTATCACTGATCCCTGTGGTACTCCGCATGTTACTTTCATTTCCTTGGTTTCTACTACTAACGTCCTATCTTCTAGGTAACTTTTTATCATGTTGTAAATGGCTAGCAACCCTTATTCTTTTTAGCCCAAGGAGTAGAATTAAACGCATTCTGGGCATCCACCGTTTTTTTTCTCTCCTGGGCTCGTCTGACTATGTATCTCCGAATAACACTGAAGCCTATTGGCTTATTGTGTTTTACCTCATGTTAGTTCATAACACCCACTCTGTCACCTTTGTACCTTGTACAAGTTTGTACAGATCCTTGGGTGAGCGGGTTCTATACGTTGTTGGATCAACCTGGGGTCGTCCAAAAAGAGCATGTCTTTTGAAATATAGAGCTTCGCATTCGCACAGTATGTGTTTGGCCGTTTCTGGTTTCTTGTGACATAGTCGGCACATGAGTTCCCCATTGTACATGCCAATTTTGTTCAAGTGTCCCTTTACTGGAGCATCCACCGTTATTAATACACAAAGTTTTCTTTCACTGTGGGGCCTTTTGATTGCTGCGTCAGTTAGCTCTTGTACTTTTTCATGGCACTAATAGTAGATTTACCCTTTCTGAATCCATGCTGTTCAGTAGCAAGTCCTCCCGTTCTTTCTATTTCCGAGTTTAGTCTGGTCAGTAACAGCTGCTCCAGTACTTTTCCTAGTATGTTCAGTACACAAATTGGTCGGTAGGCTTTTTCTAGTTGTCCCGGTTTCCCTTTTTCTAATAGCACTAACCTTGCTCTTTTCCATTGTCTTGGAAATTCCCCTCTCTGATTGTAGTGTTTGAATACTTTCAGATATCTCCCTGAGTGGTCTCTTAAAATTGTCTTTACCGCTTTCGGTGGTATTCCGTCAGGTCCTGCGGCATTCTTATCCTTGATTTTTAAGGCTGCTGCTAAGAGTTCGTCCTTGCTGAACGTGATGATTTCGTCGTCATTCACAGGAAGCTTCATCCATACTATCTCCAGGTTTACAGGAAACAGTTTCTTGGCTATTTCCATTTGAACCTCTTCCGCTAAATTCATGGGTGCTGCGGATCTTAGTTTGTTCGTGACGATCTGATAACCCTTTCCACATACGTCATTATCTACATCTTCTATTAGAGTCTTCCAAGCTTTTTTTTTAGCCTCAAATATCGTTTTCTTTAGAATGGCTCTGCCTCGCCTATACTGTTCTTGATGCACGATTTTTGTTCTATCGTCATCTCGTTTATTTGCCCTTACCATAGCTGTTTTATTCTTCAGAGAGCTCTTTCTTTTCTCTGCCACATCCTCAAACCACCAATATACCGGTTTCCTACAGTGCTCATGTGTCTTTTTTGAAAATACTATATTACATGCTGACTCTATGATTTTGCCTAGTTCTTCTGCGTTAATAAATTCATCTTTGGTTCTAAGTATCTTATCCACTTCCTCGGATAGTTTATGTAGTTTGTCTTTCTTAACTCGCCAACCTTTTTTTGTTTGTGATTGTTCCATTTTTCCCGTTGTTTGTATTTCATAGACAATGTATTGATGATAGCTGAAACTTTCTTCCTCGAGGACTTTCCATTTTTTTAAGTGCTTGGCAATATTTTTCATGCTAAAAGTAATGTCTATGTATGATTCACTCCCTCTTCTTATGAATGTTGGTATATCACCTTGATTGTGGAGAATTAGATCATATTCTGCTACCCATTCCGCCAGGATTTCTCCCCTTTTATCTTCTATCTAACACCACAGATATGATTTTGCATTAATTTTCTTCCTATGTTGTTTCATATCATTTCAAAGTGCATCTGTATATTGTATCTTTCGCATTCCTGGAGAACATGTAGTGAAACATGGCTTGAGAGATTGTTTCCTATAATTAATTTTGGTCCTTCGAGCTTTTTTAAATACGACAATGCAATCTTATCAAATCAGTCTTTAAAAGTCGATCCGTAGAACCAGCCACTGTTTGTACGATTATAGAATGCACCTTCTACTCCTCATTCCATCCATGATGGATTTAGGTGTGTTGCCTTATACACAGTATAAGGCGGTAGTAGTTGGCTAGATTCAGAAATATCCATCATCATAGAAATTTTACTTTTACTCGAATCCATTATTCTCTCAGCTCGTTTTGACCCTTTTCGACACAAGACCTTAACACGACCTGGGTTATCGCTTATGTTTGTTTCATCATAATTCACAATGTTTGTATCTGGCACTCCGTCTAACGTCTCCCTCAAATTTGAAAAATATTCCACAATAATTTCTCTATTCACGACATTTCTTTCCAAAAACGATAAAACCAATCATCACCTGGCATATTATCCTGGATTTTTGAAATCCTGATTCCTTTGCGATCCAAATAATTCTCGACAAGACTTTTTATATCGGATCGTGTAAGTGGAAAGCCCCATTTAACAAATTTCTGGATCACCTCTGACAAAAATCTTTCATCTTCTGCCGATAGGGCAGTCTGCCCACTTTGTTTTTTTAATGTGCATGTTTCTTAGCTTGTCGCTGATTGCTGATTACGGAATGTTATAGTTTTTTGAAGCTTCACGAATGGATCTTCTGCCCTGTCGAACATCTTCGAAAGCGAGTTGCAAGGTCATTGGCGAATAGTTCATAGACTGAATACCGAGTTTCTTCCTATATCTACGAGGTATGGCACCTATGAACAATTTTTTTAATTAACCCCTTTCCACCAAAAATCAAAGTCAAATTTCACAATATTTTCATGCTAAATTGTTGTTTATAGAATACTTTTTAAACATGGGGTAAAATACCAGAAAGAAATACTTTTCAATTTTCTGCAAGGAAGTTTCTTTTTAAAGTTTTGAAAAGAGGTAAAACATTAACAAATCGTAAAAGCCATGAAATAAATACTTACTGTCAAATTAGCTCGTTTATACTTACATAAACTACGTCTATACTCGGTCGCATCTATTTGTTTGCTAACTTGAAAATTTAATAACCGCTACCGACCAGATAAAACTTGTAAACTGTATTCGAGTTCTCCACTACTGGTCCGAATTCACCCCAGATGACGGTACGAATTTGTTTTGTATAAAATTTCATAAACATATTGGTTTACTTTACCTCCAACTTATACACATATAAAATATTTGGAAACTTTACCCCTTAAGCCTGTCCGTGTAATAACATTTTGTCCTTTTACCCTTTACGCCTGTTCATTTCATAAATATATTGGTTCCCTTCATCTCCAAATCATACACATGTAAAATATTTGGAAACTTTGCCCCTTAAGTCTGTCTGTCTGTCTGTGTAATAACATTTAGTCCCTTTACCCCTTACGCCTGTTCCTGTAATACTATTTGGCCCCAGGGCCGCCGAGAGCCAGGCCGGGCCCAAAGACAATTCTCTAGATCGGGCCCCGTGATAAAAAAATACTGTTCCTCTTCTACTGAAATAAAAAGTCCTCACATCAAAATACTATTTCTCCCTCCTTCAATTACTTCTTCTTCCTAAAAAAAATCCTCACATCAAAATACTAACTCTCCCTACTTCTTCTAAAAAATAAAAAAAGGGGGCCTCATTCGAAATAACTTCTCTACGTTAAAACTTTTCCTCTGTTTATATTTCATTTTATTTTTAATAAACTTAACTTCCCTCTCTCATCTTGTGTCGAATTTCTCATGCAGAACGAAAAACCTGTTGTCGGGCCCCCCTAACAGCGGTGCCGGGGCCCCATTTCAGCCCGGGCCCCGGGAATTAGTCCCGGCTACCCCCCCCCCTCTAGTCGGCCCTGTTTGGCCCACTTATAACTTAAGATTGTCGATGTAAAAATATTTGCTGCCTGTATTCCTATCAATCCTGAAATATTTTTGCTGTAATACTCGTAGTTAAATTGACTTCATATAGTTTTATTTAAATGAACAAATTATTTATAACTATAGACGAAATAAAAATAGAAATGCTATAATTTATCGATTCCTCACAAGAATAACTCATCGAGGATCACAGTATATTTTTTTAAACGATTTTAAGAAAAATTATAAAAACACTAATTTTCATAAATTTTCCAATTTTATACTTGGGGATTATTACTAAGAGCCTAAATATCAATATATTATTGTCCAAATTAAATAGTTTAAGTTATTTTGGGTAAATAGCAAATGTTGTTCTATTCATATTGACTGTAAATAACTAAAATGCAAAATAAAAACTTACGAAGTTAGTTTGACTGAATTGTCACTTACTTACAAGTTTTAAAAATAATAGCGGTCGGTTGACCAATATATGAACTATAATTGGTGGATTTCATTTTTTTGTGTTCTCATTATCTAAAATGGATATGAATTGTATTCATTCAGTTGAACGCAATAGCATACTTTTTTGTTTTGCAGTCTATTATATCATGTTACTTTCTTGCAGCAAAACAATCGAAAACCATCAATGTACCCTACACTCTTTGGGTGTATACACCAGTAAACTACTCCAAAACTATAAAAGTAGCAGTTCCATTCAACACAACATTCTACGATGTGATGCTTCAAGCCCAACTTCAGGATCCGGTGTATAACTTTACGGCCACACCCTACGATTGGGGAATGTATATTGATCAAATTGCTGGGTACCAACAAAACAATGAAAAGGAGATCTATTGGTGGATATATGATCTTGATTGTAAACCAGATATGAAAAATCCTCCAGACGTTAATCAACTCAGCCCTGTTGGTAAGACTAGTAGAAAGGTGTTCATATATAAAGATCAAACCTTCCATTCCGTTTTGCTTGTGTTAAAGTGAATAGTAAATAGCCTTCGTATGTGCAAGAGAGGAAAGGATGTGTTATCGACGTTTCCGGTTAAAACGATCTCGATCTGTGAATGGAAACATTGTTACTGTGTCGTTTCTTTTCACTGCACATGCAAATATTCTAATCACTTGAACACAAGTAAATCAGGATTGAATGTCGTGCCATCAGTCATCGTGTATACCGTTTTGTATCTACCACAAATTGTTGTTATACTCGGACAAATTTTTTTAAGAAGATGAGTCATATACATGATCAACTCTGGTGTCTATGAATGAAAATTCCGACAGAGTTAGCATAGGCGGCGTATCAAATACCAAATAATTATTTATTATTTATTAGGTATTTGTTAGTAAACTTTATTAAATTTGTCAACATCTTTATTTAAACAAAGATGATGCGTTAAATATACGTTTTTCATAGTTTTCAAGAAATGCATATATTTATTCCCTAATGACTTTGTTATCTGTGTTTAATGGTTTTAAAATGTATTTCAAGTAAATAAACAACAGACGGGTTACAGATTAAATATTGTTAGCACAGGCACAAAGACAGTTGAAAACTAACTTTTGACGAAGTTAGATTTGTATCGCCTTAACTATTTACGATAATTATTTAATATTTTATAAATTCTTTTTTGTATAAGTGCTCTTTTCTGATATACGAGTAGGTGTTCATGTTTGCGCCTTACAATTTGGTAGTGGTAGTGCATATTCGAGGAGTTATATTTATTTTGTAGTATATTAGGTAGGTACTTTAAAAGTTTATTAAATAGTAAAATATTGGTGTCTTTATAAATTTAATAAAAACAATTTAATAGTAGAATTATACTGTTACAATAGTAATGGATTCAGAGGCGGGTCCAAGTGAAACCCAATTACGTCGGCGAAAGCCCTTATCAAAGGATGAAAAGAACATTATATGGAAAGTGTATGATGGGCTGAAACAGACACTTTCTACAAATGAAGCTGTAAATCGCAGTTCTTTTTTAACTGGAGTATCTGTTTCAACAATTGAACGTATTGTACGCAAAAAGTCAAAAAAAGGCTCCTTAGAAGCCCCTAAAACGCATACCCGTGGTCGAAAATTGTTGAAATTGGACGATAACCAAAAACAAATCATTCGAAGAACTGTACATTCTTTTTTTTTTTTTTTTTGAAAACAAAGCCACAACCTACTTTCATATAATATTATTTACTATTACCGCATTTAGTTTGCCAATAGTTTTTATACGCCACTGGCGTGATTCATTTTGGCAATAAACATGCATTTATGACACGTGATACCGATAACTTCTGCAGTTTTAAGTGCGTGATTCCATTCATTATGCTCTGGTATAGTATTATTGTTGTACGTGAACTGGGAGGAATCACCTTCTTCAATATTTTGTCCGAGTTATAAGTTTAAGTTGAATTTCATAGTTAGTCTCGCACTCATGTTAGTCTCTTGCCACATTTCTGACCGTAGTTTTTTATATCAGCCTTTCAATTGCATTACAGATGATATTGGCTTACTACAGGGTTAGTTTTTTGTTTGTTTTTTTTTGAATATGTCTGAATTCCCCTAATCTTACAAGATTAATCACCTTTTTTCTAATAATCTAATTTACTACCAAATTTTAAATCTAAAATCTATTCAGATTTCATTTACGCCTCATGTAAATAGAAGCAGGTGGACGCTAAAATTGAGCAGGGCCAAATTGTACTTTCCCGTCTTGCAAAAATGAAAAATAAAAGTATAATTTTGGAATTATATTTTTATTACGATAAAAACTTATTTTGTAAACTAAAAGTGCAAATGAAAATTAATACATGTATTTTACTTAAAAAAAAAAGGTAAAAAGTTTTTCATTATAGTTTATTACATATGTCTACTGTTATACGAGGATGTATCAGAAAATAACGAGACTGGTGCTATAGTATAACAACGAAACATTTATTTAAAAAAATTCATTAACTATCCTTCGAAGTACTCTCCATTCTGTTGAATACACTTATTCCATCGCTTTATCCACTTTTCATAAACTTCTGAGAAACCATTTTTTGATAGTCTGTTTAGTATACCCATCACAGCGTTGTTGAGCTCTAAATTCGACTCAAATCTTCTACCTCTCAATTCTTTTTTGACTTCAGGAAACAAATGGAAGTCACATGGAGCAAGGTCAGGAGAGTAGGGGGGATGAACCATAATTTCAACCCCTAATTCTTCAATTGTTCGTTGACAAATCATTGATCTATGAGCCGGAGCATTGTCGTGATGCAGCGTCCAGCCAAAGTCCTGATAAAGCAGCCTTTTTTTCTTTAATTTTGCCTTTAAGGATCCTTGAAGTACATTAGAATAGTACTCCCCTGTTACTGTATGTCCTCTAGATACAATGTGATCGTAAATAACGCCAAATTTATCAAAAAAAATCAGGTGCATCACTTTACCAGCGCTTTTAGCAGTTTTGGCCTTCTGCGGTCTTGGGCTGCCTTTATGCTTCCATTGCATACTTTGAGACTTCAATTCAGGATCGTAATGATAAAACCAACTTTCGTCACATGTAACCACATTATTTAAAAACTGTGGGTTACGTTGCAATTGCCTTTTCGACTGCTGACAAATTGTCACTCGATTCGCTTTTTGTTCATCGGTCATCACTTTTGGAATCCATCTTGCCGCGATCTTCCGGTACTCTAAATCTTCATGAATAATTTTTTGAGTGGTACCGTAAGACAAATTAACATTGTCAGAAATTCGTTTTATGCCAATCCGGCGATCATTTTGTATCAAGTCGTTAATTTCTGCAATTTTTGTGTCATTTCTCGCAGTTTCTGGTCGACCGGGACGAGGTTCATCTTCAACTGATTCACAACCGTCTTTAAACTTTTTATGCCACTCAAACACTCTACATCGTGATAAACTATTATCTAGATATGCACATTTAATCATTTCAAAAGTTTCAGTTGGTGTTTTACCCAATCGAACATAAAATTTTATCGCGTATCTTTGCTCCACTTTCATTTTTCGATGGGTACGCAAAACACTGACAATTCAATAATTAATTTGTAACAAATGTCAAAAGTTAAATCAAAGCCTACTTGCGGGGTAGTACATTAAATATAAGGCTTTCATGTCTCATTTTTTGGGTTATAAAATGTTACCTCTGAAAGAAGTTATAGCACCAGTCTCGTTTTATACTGATATATCCTCGTACAGAGCATTAAAACAATAATATAACAAAATTATATTATACAAATAATTGCAAATTCTTTAATAGCTAATATATATCTTCTAAAAATATTATTAAATTATATACCAAATACCTTTTATATTTAAATTTTTTATTAATGTTTTTAGCAGAAATACAGGGTGGGCCATTAGTGCGTGGGTGGAAGATTGCGGGTTTATTAAGGTACATTTTTAAAATTCATTTTTGAAGCATGGTGTAGGACCTCTAAGGCTACAACCTAAAAATATTTTTGATGAAATTCCAATTGTTCTACAGGGTGATTTATATCATAGTTAGGTGTTTTTAATAGGAACCTCCTATATATTATTGCATATTTGGATTTCTCGGTCAATTTTAGTGTGACTTTATGTATCACACATGGTATCTGAAATGAGTCGTTAAGCAGCAATTCATTATTTTTTCAAAAAGTAGATGTCTAATAAAAATCTGATGTGTCCAACACATGACTTTCCTATCTAGTTATTATAGGCATTTTCCGGTTATTTTGTACAACCTATTGCAGTATCTCTATAAATGTTTAGAGGATAAACTAAATATATATATTTTACACATACATCTACCTCGAAACATTTTTCTATAGATATTCATTGAAAACGAAAATACAGAAAAATTTAAATTTAGCACTTTTCCATTACGGTCCTTTTTAGAAAAATCATGTATAAACAAAAATTATAGAAATCGATATCGCAAACAACTTTTAGTTCAAAAATTTTCATAAAAATCAGAATTTTGCACATTTTGTCAAATTTCTCGAATACGGACGATTTCAGGAAATTTTGACATAAAGCAAAAATTATAGATAATAATATTAGAAGTAACTTTTATTGGAACAATTTTCTTCTCCAAACATAAATAACAAATATATTCCATAAAATATAAAAACGGCCTCCCATAAAGTACCCCCCCAGATGTTCCGACTTTGTCCAAAATCTAATCATTTCACGTCAGGCCGAAATAAACCTTAAGTTTAAAATTTAATGTTTTTTTCTTTATCCGTTTTTGAGTTTTCTTCAAATTTCGAAATTTACACATTTTCTCAAATATTTCGAATACGGTCCATTTTAGAGAAATTATGTATAGGACAAAAATTATAGAGAATTATATTACAAACAACTTTTATTTGAACAATTTTTATAAAAAATTATGTTTTTTACATTTTGTCAAATTTCTCGAATACGGACCATTTTAGGAAAATTTTGCATAAAACAAAAATTATAGATAATTATATTAGAAGTAACTTTTATTTGAAGAATTTTCTTCTCCAAACGTAAATAACAGATATATTCCATAAAATATAAAAATGACCACCTATAAAGTACCCCCCCAGATGTTCCGACACTGCCCAAAATCTAATCAGCTCATTGGACGCTGAAACAAAGCTTAAGTTTAAAATTTGGTGTTTTTTTGTGTATCGGTTCATGAGTTATGCGTTATACAGACACACACACACACACACACACACACACACAGACACACACACAGACAGACAGACAGATATCATCGCGAAAATAGTCAAAACGGATTCAGGGGACCTCAAAACGTAAAAATCCGTCGAAAACTCGAGGTCGAAAAAAATCATGATTCCTATACTTTCCTTATTATATCTGTATACAGATAGGAAAGTAAAAATTGAATATCGTAGTTATTATAAAACTTAGAAGGTGGTGACTCTACAGTGTTACTAAGCATGAAATGTACTAACATTTGCCAGACGATCAAAGTCAAACCCTTTTCGTGTTTCAATCCATTTCATTACATGCAGAATTCGATTACCTTTCTAATAATATAAAAATATGTTAATGTTTATCTTTTACAGATTTCTTTTTATTTAAAAAAATCTAATAATTCACAGTATTTTTCAATTTTTCTAATCTCTTTGAAATTAGTAGACCGTTAAAAATGATAAATAGCAATTTCAATTAAAAAACATTTAAATAAATAAAAAAAGCAATTATTTTAATAAATGTTCAAAATATCTACCATCCTGTTCTAAACAAACTTGGATTCTTTGACGAAAAGAAATTTTAACCCTATCAAATATTTCTGGGTTAATTTCTTCAAAAGCGTTTCTAATCCTGTTTTTCATGTTTTCAGATGTGGTTGGTTGTTCCGCATATACTTTTTCTTTGATATAACTCCATAAAAAAGTCCATTAGAGTAATATCTGGAGATCTAGCTGGCCATCGCAATGGTCCATCCCTTGCAATCCACCGTCCATTAAATGTATTGTTGAGCCATGTGCTTACAATACGGGCGCCCATCTTGTTGAAAGTACATATCTCTAATTTGAACAAGTGGTACATTTTCAGTAATTTTCAATTTTTAAAACCTTTTAATTAGTAGGCTGTAAAAATAAAGTAAATCTGTCACTTTTTGTGACATTAGAAATTAGTTATTAGAATTCTTTCTAGTTTTGCTCAACTCGTTCTAAATTTAAGTGATAATAATGGCACACTAATGGCCCAAGCTATTAAAGAATTTGCAATTATTTGGACACCTTCTATAAACAGTCTTCGATGTCCGCAACAAATTCGACTAGTTTCATTAGAAGTCTTTAAAACAGTGTTGTCAGATTTAAGGTCTGTTTGATCGTTCTTTAGGTGGTTAATTTGATTATGATGTGTCAACTTCTTTTATTGAAGTTAGAGGTTAGAATTATATTTTGAATTTTCTGTGATTCTCAAATGATTGGGCATTTGGAGTTGGGATATTTAAGAAAACTTATTAATAAAGATCCACAGTCTTGAAATTTTAGACATATAAGATTAATTGGGACCATTCCCATAGAAGTCCAATCATATATTAATAACATGCTAGTGTTACACTGGTTTTTGGTATCACAATTTATTTCAATTCAACTTTACAATAATTCAATTCAACTTTAACAATAATGATACAACTGATATAGCTTGCCTTGACCTTCTAGACCCTTCTCGAACAATCCATATACATTAATTCACCCTGTTCTTCCAAAATCTATTCCCCACATCACAAATTTTAAAATGTCTAGGAGGTATTATTGTACCACTTTAACAAGGATGAAACTAAATCATGGGGGTTTTCCGTCTCACCTTTCCAGAATTGGTATTAATATATCACCTTTCTGTCAATGCGACAATTCTTCTTTTGCTGATATCAATCATCTCATTTTTTCTTGTAGCCACCATAATTCTCATCGTTCAGATTTTCTTAAAAACCTTTCTTCCCTGAATATCCTTTTTCCATCAAGTATAAATAAACAAAAAATTATTCGGTTTACAAAAGTCTGTGGCAACAAAAACTACGTTTAGATGCCAATTCTCAAAAAAAAAAAGAACAATCCGGACTTTTCTTTGACAAGTAATGACATTTCGAGACATTTCTGGAATATTCCATCTTCTTCATTTACTCGTACCTTTACTTATGGCGACCGCAGCACGCTGCAGGGTGCTGCGTAACACTAGTCTCGTTTGGAAAGCTTTTTTTTAAACGAGATATATTTGGAGACTTTAGGTACAGGAAAACTCATTTTGCCATCTGTTGAGGAATGTAAAATCTTATTTATTCAAAGTCCATCTTATTTATTCAAAGTCCCTTATTCTGTTATCCTTTTTTGATTAAATATACACTCCTTCAGCATACAAAATTTACGTTTTTATTTCTCTTTTTTGAGTTCTCTATTTTCACATTACTCTCTTTCTTTTATTCACGTTTTTAATTCAAACTACACACTTTTTTTTAATATCTTTATACCAGTATTTAATTTTTATTTATTTAATATATATTTTTTTATTTTGTTTTAGGAGTGAGTGAAATACGAGTGAAAAAAGGACGGCATTATCTGTTTTGGTACAGACATATCGAAAATACACATTAATCCAAATGATTTCTGTATTTTGCATTTTATAGACTAATTAACAAAAAATAATTGAATCGGTTATTTGGAAAAGGGCATATCTACTTAACACTGACTTTTACAGTAAAAATGAAAAACATTTTTAAATCATTATAATAGTTATGTACATATTTTTGTATATTCATTAGTATGTGAGGATGCTAATTACAGTTATTTATCATAGATATATTTTATGTGCCCTTTTTCAAAACTATATATAATAAAACATTAAAAATAAAAATCTGATACATTATTTATTAAACAAATATAGTTTCACATATTATGTAGTAAGTTACGTAACTTTATAATAGCAAAGAATAGTATATGCTTTATATTCGACTTCGAAAAATGGATGGAATACTAAAAATATGTTTAATGGACTCACAGTGATTATGCTGGTTTTGGGGTATTCGATATATTGTATAATAATAAATAATAATTAGATACTCATAATTTTTTCAATCATTAATGTTTTTAGTGTAGAAAATATTATTACATTTTCTTTAGCTTTAATTTTCTATCTTTTTTAAATTTGTCGTAGATTACAGTTCATCAAATTTCTAGAGGTGTTCGACGCCCAGACAGAGAACGCGCTACGTGTGACTAAGATAGCTATTGTACAGTCTGCTAAACAAGTTATTTTAAATAGTTTTTAATATTTTTAGGTAATTAAATTTTAAAAGTGTGGAATAGTTTAGGGATTAAATTGGTCTGATTGGACTTTCTTAGAACGTTTTTAAAAGCAGCTAAAGATAGTATGTAGAATTGAAAATAATTATTATGCCATAAAAGGTGTTTTGGAATTCCTTCACCCTTTTGAAATTGAGTCAGAAAATATAAATTTTATAGGATAGCGGAAAATACCTATAATTTTTTTGTAGGCCTTTGTAAATCGTGGAAATAGTTTATATTTTATTTCTACCTTATTAAGGAAAATGGTACCTATTATTAATAACGATTGTTTCTGAAACATTACTAAAATTTTCGAAATTTTGTTTTTCTACAAAATAATAAACTATACTATTTAGAAAAAAATTTATTTCTCTTATAATTTTATAAAAACTAACAGGGGAATATTTACATTTCTTGATCTATTAAACAAAACGATAAATTATCTCGACGAATGACACCATGTTCTAGTACGGAAGCTAGCTTTACATTTTTGTTGGTGGTTTCATGGGTTTCATATCAATTTTTTGTAATTGTAGTTTACACGTACATATACCTCTTAACACTTGTTTGCTTTATTAAAAAAGTGTGTTGTTGTGATTTACGTCGAAATAAGTCAAAAACAACTTGAAACCCCATATAAAATCAAAAAGGAGAAACGGAAAAAAATTGAGCCTGTAAATGAACACAACTCAGAAACAAAAATAGCTATCTAATAATAAAAAAAATAAAATTTGATTCTTGTGCAGCTTCATCTATATCATTAACTGTTTTTGGGTTTTTAATGGTTTTTCTTGGTGATGAAAATTCCGATATCTCACGGTTATCGATTCTTTTTTTCTCTCCAGAAATACGGACGACAGTGTTTTTAGATACTCCTGTGGCTGCAGCAACAGGATCATTTACATTTTTAAATGGTATTGAAGGTGAATTAAAGTTTCCTTCTCTTCTCATAAACTCTATAACATTGGCTATTATTTCGCGAGATTGACTGTTAATCACGCGGCCTCTTAATTTGCTATTAAACTCCATACTTTGGTTCTATTAAACTGTAATGAGCAAAAAACACAAACGAAAATAAAAGAAATGTTTTAGCGAAATTTACATCTGACATTTACGTCTGAATGAAATAGTGAAATACTTGATGCGCAGAGTGTACTTTCATTGCGTAAATCCGTCGGGATGCCTGTCAGTAGTGCTTTCTCTGTCTAGCCGTCGAAAGCCTCTAGAAATTTGATGAACTGTAGTTGCTGATTGTTTTTTTTTTTTGTTAAAAATTCAGATAACTTTTTATTCTTATAACCATTTTATATTCATGTATTTTATTAATAATATCATTATTTTTATTTTTAAAACGCTATATTACAGGTATTCTAACTTTTTAAAAAAGTGTCTGCCACTCCTACCACCACTTTTATAATCGCAAAGCCATGGGAACATTTCTAAACACTATACTTTTTTTGTGAAGAACTTAAAGACCAGGCAATTTGACAGTAAATTCAATTCCACAGTAGTAAAAGTACTTGAGTTCTTAAGAACTACTAAATAACTGTAATAAGTTTAATAGTAATTTGACTATTATAATAATATAGTGTTCAGTGCTAAAGTCTATTCAAATTTAATTTACGCCTGATGTAAACAGAAACAGGTGGACGCTAAAATTGAGCAGGGCCGTATTTTACTTTCCCGTCTTGCAAAAATGTAAAATAAAAGAGTGTAATTGTGAAATTATTTTTTTATTACGATAAAATCATATTTTGTAAAGTAAAACTATAATATAAATGCCATACACGGTCTCCCAGACTTTAGTGACATTTCTGGACGAAGATAGGTGAGCGACATAAACTGCGTTAACCTGCAATACAAATTAATAAATGTATTTGACTTTAAAAGAGATGGTTGCATTATATTTAGTTCATTACATATGTCTACTGTGATACAGAGCATTAAAACAATCATATTATAAAATTATATTGTACAGGGTGTCTAAATAATTGCAAATTCTTTAATAGCTAATATATATCTACTAAAAGCATTAAAAAAACTTTAAATATAAGAGGTATTTGGTATTTGAATTTGCTATTTGATTTAAAATTGTGCATCTTAAAAAGAAACCTTTTGTCTTTTTGATAACTTTTGTTATTTATTGTTCTTGTTCTACTAGTATTTAGATTAGACAACTTGTACCCTGTTTTATGGCGATCTTCCTTACTTGACTTAGCACTATTCTGAATCGGATAAATTAGTTAGACTTGAAAGGCTATCTTAATTAATCAAAATTACAAGTGGTTCTACCTGAACCTCTATACTATTATCCAACTCCCATATTTTTACTTCAACTTCTTGGCGAACATGGTCGATACACTTTTTCCATTTTTCTGGAGAAATTAATAATATTACTTCTTTTCCCAAGGACCCAAACCGATAAGTACCACATTATAAGAAATTTTCATTGTTAAAAATATAATTTATACAGGGTATCCCATTAGTGCGTTATTGTTCATTATTTTGTTGTAGACACGCAAGAAAGTTTTATATAAAAGTTATATGGATTTGAAAAATATCTACATATTTTAAAAATATCTTTGGATATACAGGGTGTCACGTTTTTGCCTGGCAAATTAAAATGTACGTTTTTTAAATGGAACACCTTGTATTTTATTTTATGATAAAATTATTAACACCCTAAATTATTGTAAAGACGAATTGATACAGAAAAATTTTATCAGGTATGTGTGTGGTTACCTTTTAATAAAAGCCTTGCGGATCCACTCCTCTGCGATACCTGTCTTAAATATAACAAAGATCACGTCGAATTAGATGATTTTTCTTTTTATTGCTTTTTAAAGGCATATGATAACGCCAATCCAGATACATTTGGAAATCTGTAACTGTCAAATGATGAATTTGTAGAACTAATATTCAATATTGAAAAGATATTTCAAAATAATTTTGAAGAATTGGCTACAAAAAATAACATTTGTACCACACTTTTAGAATTAATTAACCCAATACCCTTTAGTCATCCATGCTAACGTTTTCCAAAAGAATAACTTATTTTATTGTATGTTTAATCTCAATAACTAAAAAATATACTGACAATTAGTTTGACAGAATTTCCATTTATTTAAAATTTTAAAAATAATAGCAGTCGGTTGATTAAAATATGAACGGTGATTGGCGAATTAATTTTTTTTGCAGTGTTCTCACTACCTAGAATGGATATGAAATATATTGAAGGCAATAACATACTTTTTCGTTTTGTAATCTGTGCATGGATATTAGCCAATCTACGCACATACTACAAAACGAAAAAGTATGTTATTGCGTTCAACTACGAATATATTTCATATCCATTTTAGGTAGTGAGAACACTTTAACAAAATTAAATCTACAAATCACAGTTCATATTTTGGTCACCCAACTCCTATTATTTAAAATTTTTTAAATAAGTGACAATTCTGTTAAACTAATTGTCAATATATATTTTAGTTATTGATATTAAATATACATTAAAATTTTTGTGTAGACTCGATAAATAATAGCATTTTTGTTTTTATTGTGTCCACATTTAAAAAAAAAAATAAATTTTAATCAAACTACATGCTACTAATTTAATTACGAGTATTAAAACTAAAGTCCTGAAAGTTTCGGTGAAGATGAAGACAGAGCATCTGCCTTCCACGCGAAAAGCCCGGGATCGAATCTAGGCCGAGGACTAATTAATTTTTCATGTTTATTTTATTTTATAAATTAGTCAACTTCGTAAATTATTTTAAAATTAGTTAAATTGTCTAAATAACCTAAAATAATTTTTTAAATTTGTAGATTTTCGTTAGTGGGTCGTAGAAAAAATATACTGACCATATCGAGTGGATTGTTTATATCACAATCAGACGATTGAGTACTCTGCCTACGACGTCATGCTCAAACTTCGTCTTTGTGTGATATTGCTATCATATCCACCCTTGTTGAACAAACTATAATTAATTTGTTTTCTTGGTTTAAACCAAAACTTAAGTTTTACATCAGAAATAGGAACTAAATTAATTTACTTTTCAAGTTTTCTTGTAAAAATCGATATTATTTTCTCCAAGTACAAATTTAGTACCTACCTAAAATAAGTACTAATTATGTAATATCGTGTAATATTGTAATTCAAATTTCACATTACTATAAAGTTTCAAAATTCCCTACTTCGGTATGGTCAGATAAAAATTGAATATGTTATATTAATAAAAACTGTCAAAGTATTACTTCTACAAATCTGTATTTCAATTAATAAGAATACATCTAAATATAACCAATATTGTTAAAATAAAAGCACAAATTCTTTATAATTCCAAAATACCATAGAGTTCCCAGACCTCAGTCGAAGCATTCGTTTATCTAGGTATAAACCCTTTGCGCGAAGAGTAACACTTGCCAGAGACACGGGGTACCACTTGATTTGCATCCACGAGCGTGACACAATTCTTTAACCATTGAAGCCCTTGGTGTAAAAAGGATCCAAGTCACAATTTGTCGTGAAGTGACTGTTTTAGCTCAAAACATTTGTTAACGAGAATTTTACTAGCCACATACAAATTATTTTACCTCTAATCCGAAAGATGTGCTATTTTTCGTAATATTTATATTTAAATAATGTTTCTAATTATATTTGACAGATTTAAAACAAATTAAAAATTTAATTTCCCAAAACTTACTTACGCCAAGGTTTTCAATTTTTTCAATAATAAAAAAATTGTTTAATCCGGGCCCGACTTTTCCCTCGAATCTAACAGAGATAGCACCATTCCGGACTTGCTTGGTTCTCGACCGCCAGATCAAAGACGCCGACACGGAGTTGTGGAGCTGTATTGTATAAGCTGTGCTATAATGTTAAATAATTTAGCCTCGTGAATTTTAGTTATCACAATATTCGGAAAGATAGAACTTTCTATCTGATGCAACAACAGCAGTTTCCATATATTTGTAGCTCCACTAGCCCCAACACCAAACTCAATTTTCCGGCAAATCGACACAGCTCTGCCTTGCAAAAACTCTGTTGTCTATTTTTTACTTTCCAATGTGAAACATCGAAAAGAATAAATTGACTTGAAGGAAAGAAACTGCTTGTATTCGCTTCCTAAACAAAGAATAAGTTCTATTTTTCACGAGGCTCTTGTTAGAGATATAAATTAAACTTGTAAACAACTACGTTTTAAAATTCCCAATAATAAAACTTAATTAATACAAACAATGTATAATTCCAGCAACACAAAAAGAATTACTAAACCATATTGAACAAAGTTAAATTGACTTTTAAAAAATAAACTTATAACTAACAAAAAGTAGAAATATAATCTCTACTGAGATATATTTTTTTAATGACATTAATAACTCACCGCTATTTACAGCCACAGACACTGATAATTTAAGATATGATAGGAAATAGTTATTTATGCAACAAGTGTGTAAAGTTACCCTTTTTTGACGACATTCGTCAAAAAAGGGACTTTACACACGAGTGGCATACAATATTTTTTCTACTACCGTACACATAATCCACTAATATTAGAAATATAAAAGTTACTTTTTTCACTAGTAAAAAAAAGTACTTTACTTTACGCACTAGTGAAAAAAAGTAAAATGTGCCAAAAATTGTACACAGCAACAAAAATAAATTTATTGGAACTTTACAAATTTATAATTCTTACAGAACAAAATGACTAATAAATGAAGAAATATTTAAAAAAGTAGGTTTTTAACTCTTATGAATATTAATATTGAATGTGCAATTATTGCAATTACCAAAACTTAAGGTTTTGGCCTTTTCCAGCACAGAGTTTGAAAAATGTTGTGATATTACTTCTGTAACCCTATTTTGAGCTTCAAGTGGTATGGATTTGGCCTTTTCAAGTAAAGAGGTTGAAATATTTTGTGTAACTCTAGTTTTACTGTCGAGTGGTTCCACTAATTCTTCATTAGAGTTGTAAACGGTAAAATTGTAGCTTTGTTTGGAAGTGGATGGCATACTGTCATCCATCAAAATTTTATTAGAAATTTTGTTTTTTTGTGTTATTGTGCTGTCTACGTAGCCTTCTGCAACAGCAGATGATTTCCATCCTCCATGTTTTTTTACCGTTAGAAGGTCTCCTCCAGAATTTGCCAGCATAGTGGCTGAAGACCTCCTAAAGCAGTGTCCTGTAAAAGCCGTTGGATTGGGCAAGTTTAGATACGTTGCTATAACACTTGGCATTTTACCAAAAGTATTTATCCCTACAGGCTGTTTAGAATATTTTCCATTTGCGAATTTTAAAAAAAATCTGTTACAATTTATATTTGATGGTCTTAATGAGGTATATTTTTTTATGAAAGATAAATAATCAACTGCAGAATTATTTGGATTTAAAATCGTAAAAATGCGTTCTATTCCATTTTTGGTTTCTGATACTTTGACAATAAACACTGTTTGTTTATCTTCCACATCGTTAATTGTCATTTTACATAATTCTTCCCGGCGACAAGCTCCCGCAATTCCAATTATAAAAGCTACCTAAAAAATAACATATTGTAATGTTACAAATAATTTATTAACCATTAGGAAATATCTTGACGTTGCGCATGTAAAACTCCAAATAAATGCTATTGTAAAAAATATAAAAGTTTTAGGTATAATGTGCTGCCTAACAACCCCGGTGGCCTGTTAGGACAGCAACTGATTTTGTTAGGCAACACACCATACGAACACACATCTCGTTGCAAAACTTTACAAAATATTTTAATTTTATACTGAGCATTCAAGCATTTACTGAGGCATTTACTTACTTTGATCATTAAAAACTTGGAATCTGGAGCTTTCAACAGAAAATTAATTAGATCTTCTCGTTCAAAAATTTTGGATTTTTTTGGTTTATAACCTTTATTTTTTTGTTTGAGAAACGCTATTAACTTGTTGAATTTCGAAATATCAACGTTGTTTTTATATTTTAAGGTGCTTTTAAGCATAGAATAAATCGACCATAGGGTAGAAGCTTTGCAATTCTTCAATTCATTAGAGAAATATGCTAAAATAACGTTTTCCGAATATTTTGTCACCTTATTCTTCCTACACCATTCTATAAATGCATTGTATTTTTGCTGATAAATATATGCAGATTTTTCTGGCAATAAATTTTCAGTGGCCTTTTGTGCACTGCATAAGATATCTGGGGGAGTATTATCAAATTCGCTATCGCTAGATAAATTTGAATCCATATCGATTATGACAGATATAATAAACTGCAAATAAAATTTGAATTTAAGTAAACAAACATTAAAAAGTAAAACTTTTTACATTCTCAAACTTGATTGAGTTTAAAAAATGCTAAATTGGCTTTAGAATCTAATCTTGAACTTAAGTATACTTTTGTCGTGTTCTGTTATAATGTAGGTACTAATTAAAAGTTTAGAGATTGAGAGTTCTTCTAATCCACACAGCCACGGCCAACTTACTTTTACCAAAATCGACATCCACTGTATGTTTACTTTTAATTAAATCGATGACATTTAGAGAAAATTATAATTAAAATAAATTGTTGATAATTTGTTGGACACTAAATAGATATAAGCAAAAATAATTTATTTATTTGTCTTAGAAAGAGATAGCAAAAAAATGTTAATATAAATTAAAACGTTATATTTTGTTGTTACGTACAAATTTTGTCAAATTTTACTTTTTTTAACTAGTGCGTAAAAAGTTTTACTTTACGCACTAGTGAAAAAAAGAACAACTTTACACACTTCGTGGAGTGCGTAAAGTACGTACTTTACGCACGGTAGTAGAAAAATAAATTTTAAGAAACAATTTGGACATCGAGTGCCAACTAGACTCCCACTTCACGAAATTTCCCTTTCTTAGGAATATTATGTTCGGCGATAATTAAATTTTAAATTAATCGAATACTATTTCTGTAAAGGATGTCACACATTCAAAATAACGTTTTTAAAAGAAATTTTTAAAATGTTACAACTGCTAGTATCTATTGCTAATTTGATAGTATTTATTGCTAGTATTCATTGATGGTACCTATCGCAAGTATCTAGTATCCATTGTTCGTACCCATTGCTGGAAATAATTTTAAAAACGTTCTTCATAAACCCGTTTTTTAAATACAAATGTTTAATCAAATGTTTAAAGAAACAGTAATTGTTGAAATATCTAGTAACAGCTCTGAATTTATCTTTAATATCTCCTTATTTTCTTCAAGGAACTACTCGCCCCCCAGAAAATCCCCATGCCGCTGTATCCATTGCGTCGAAACTTGCGGCGAGAGTACTGAAGTTCCAGAACTTATTCAACATTCGCCCCGTTCCCCGCGTCCTTGTGATTGTCCCCGTCAAAAAGACCGTATCCATTGTGAGCGTCCTTGTTGTCCCATCGATCGTCCACATCATCCAGAATCGCCACCCCGCATTCAAGATTGTATGTTCCATAAGTGTTGTAAAGATCATTCACCTAGCCGTAAAGAGTGCACCTGTAAAGAGTGTCCCCGTACCTGTGAAGACTGTCCCCGAAGTTGTAAGGACTGCCCGCGAGGCTGTAACGAACCAATTCGTAGCCGCAAAGAACACGCTCACGCCTGCGTCGATTGTCCCCGAGGCTGCAGTGATTGTCCCCGCGGCTGTATTGATTGTCCACGCGTATGCAAAGATTGTCCCCGCAACTGTAAGGACTATCCGCCTCTCAATCAATGTTCGTGTTGTCCTTACGTCGTCGACGCTTATCCTAGTCGCTATAAAAAACATGGCAAGAATAATTCGTGTCGTTGCGACAAACCGAAAAAGTACTGTGTTTGTGGAAAGCTGAGTCCTTGCGATTGTAAAATGAATCAAATCCAGTCGGAATGTACTTCAGTTTGTGTAAGGTGTGGCTGTAAGGTAAGGATAATTTAGTTTGTTAAATTCTCAAGCGAGCAATGTAACTGCATTTTCTTCATAAAACTGTAAACTTACTAGGCAACGTACTTTTAGTGTTTAAGTAACTTCGACGTAACTATCAAACTTCCGCATCATTTGTGTTTTTACAGGGGAAGAGAGAGGACGCGTAACTGTGAATTCAAATCCAATTTGCGACTGTTTGACACCAGATGAGATGTCAACGCATACATTATATGAGACATGTTCAGAAAGTAAGTGTACTGTGACCATACCCGAATGTTTTTTTGTTTTTTGAGGGTTGGCAACGCTGGGCGGTAGAAGGGGATCTCCTGACCAGGCCGAACATCACAGGAATATAGTAGTACCAAAAATTCACGTTTTAGTAACCAGTTACGTGAAAGATGTCGATTAGAAATCCCGCCAAGTGCGAGCCACATGCTGTGATCCGCTTCCTACTCGCGGAATCAACGATATTGTGAGACCTTAAAAAAACTCAAAAATAACTTTCAAAATAAAAGGAGGGAAATGCTGACGAGATGAGTGTGCTTGTTGTACGACAGTGCTTATCCTCACGTAATCTCAACCACAAAGGCGCTCTTGAACTCATTTGGTTTGGAGGTTTATAACCCCCTTCTTATTCCCCTGACTTGGTGCCTTCAAATTATCAACTTTTCACCTCCTTGAAGGCACACATGGGTAGAATTAAATTTTCAACCGACGAACAGATGCAGAAAGAAGTTCTGGTGGGAGAGTTCTTCGAAGAGGGCATTAATACGCTTGTACCACGACTCACCAAATGTATTGAATGTGGTAGCGTTATATGAAAAAATAGTAAACAAGTGTATTAAGAATATTTCATGATTTTGTTTTCAAATATACTTTTAATACAAAAATATAAAAATCTAGTAGACTTACTTTCCGAACATATCTCGTATTAAATAATATCATTGATACGCTGTGTAACTAATTTACATTTGAGTTTATTCAGGCATTGAAGTTCGATAATACTGAAAATTAATTTCAAAATAATATTGTAACTAAAACTACAACTAAAACTACGACTACGACTACGACTACGACTACGACTACGACTACGACTACGACTACGACTACGACTACGACTACGACTACGACTACGACTACGACTACGACTACGACTACGACTACGACTACGACTACGACTACGACTACGACTACGACTACGACTACGACTACGACTACGACTACGACTACGACTACGACTACGACTACGACTACGACTACGACTACGACTACGACTACGACTACGACTACGACTACGACTACGACTACGACTACGACTACGACTACGCTACGACTACGACTACGACTACGACTACGACTACGACTACGACTACGACTACGACTACGACTACGACTACGACTACGACTACGACTACGACTACGACTACGACTACGACTACGACTACGACTACGACTACGACTACGACTACGACTACGACTACGACTACGACTACGACTACGACTACGACTACGACTACGACTACGACTACGACTACGACTACGACTACGACTACGACTACGACTACGACTACGACTACGACTACGACTACGACTACGACTACGACTACGACTACGACTACGACTACGACTACGACTACGACTACGACTACGACTACGACTACGACTACGACTACGACTACGACTACGACTACGACTACGACTACGACTACGACTACGACTACGACTACGACTACGACTACGACTACGACTACGACTACGACTACGACTACGACTACGACTACGACTACGACTACGACTACGACTACGACTACGACTACGACTACGACTACGACTACGACTACGACTACGACTACGACTACGACTACGACTACGACTACGACTACGACTACGACTACGACTACGACTACGACTACGACTACGACTACGACTACGACTACGACTACGACTACGACTACGACTACGACTACGACTACGAATACAATTACGATAAATAAATCTGTTTATATTGTTACACTGGTTTTTGGTATCTCAATTTATTTCAACTCAACTTTAACAACAATTATACAACTGAATATTAACATGTCACGTCTGTCATAAAAACTGAAAACTGACGTCAGGATCATCCTTATATCGCTTGCTTGATCCTTTTCGAACCTTCTCGAACCTTCTCGAACTGTCGTCTAGAATATTCTTGAAGAATAATTACATTTTCAGACATTTCTGGACTATTCTATCTTCTTTTACTTATGACGACCACAGCACACTGTAGGGCGATGAGTAACATTCCACTTCTTTTTCTATCTGTACGTTTCCTATAATAGCCGCAGACTACTGCAAAGTACTGCGTAACATTATGAATGAAATTTTTTTATGAAAAATGTTTCCATATTTCAATAAACAAGTGAAATATGTAATCACCCCATACTTCATCGTTCTAATATCATTCTACCTTTACAGGCGTCCTAATACCGTTCTCTTCCTGTACCTATTTGTTCTATTAGTTTTGTTTCTGGACAGTGTTTTTAACTCTCATCAAACTTTTCCGTTCAGTAATTCCGATCTCTTCAATCTGGTCAATCCATTTTTTCCTGAGCCTTATTTATTCTCGATTTTCTTTTTGATTTTAATTGTTTTTTATCTTTGTCATTGTTGGTGCTTGTTTAATAATTATTCTGATATCTTCAGGAAGATCCATCATAACTTATGCAGCGGTTGTTTGGTGGCCAAAAGTAAATCAGAAAACAGCCCTCAATACCCTCTCAGGAGTTCAAAGGCTGGTAGGCCTTGGTATTACAGGAGCACTGAGAAGTACATCGACAGCCTCTATGGAAATCATTCTAAACCTCCCACAGATTAACCCGGTCATAAAGGGGGAGGCCAGAATAAGTGCATACAGACTGGAAATCTAACAACTGGAACCCACTGGGACATATAAAACATACCAGAATAACACATGAAGTAAATGATTCTATATTTAACATGGGATCAGATCAAATGACACTCCTCCTAACCTTGAACAGACTCTTCCAGGTCAATTGCAACTGAAAAGAGGTAAATAAGGAGATAGATAAATACTTGCTTAGCGGTCTCGTATGGTATACGGATGGATCTAAAATTAACAAAGGAACAGGCTCTGGCGTACATGGAGCTAAACCCAAATGCGACATCATCGTCTTACTGGGAAAACATACCACTGTATTTCAGGCTGAAATACATGTAATCGAATTGTGTGTACGAGAGAATTTAAGAAGTACAAAAACAAACCATCCTAATTCTCTCAGATAGCCAAGCAGCCTTAAAGGCTCTTGATTCAAACAGAATCAAGTCACAGCTTGTCTGGAACTGCCTTGAAATACTAAATGATCTGACAATCCATAACAAGGTAAAACTAGCGTGGGTACCATGGCACAAAGGTATCCAAGGAAATGAAAAGGTTGATGAACTCGCCAAAGAGGGATCAGATCTATTATTCACAGGATCCGAACCTGAATTTGGGATAAGCAAAACCTCTGCTCGACAGGTAGTGAACGGGTGGATAACCACAAAACACCAAATTCACTAGCAACACGTAAGAGGGCACATAATCAGTAAGCTCATGCTAAGGGGACCAAACCCACGCATGGCTCTTGAGGCACTACAACTCGCAAGGCCTCAGATATCCACTATTGTGGGATTACTAACAAGGGACTGCTTGCTGAAACACCATCATGTGATGGGATTACACAATGATCCCACTTCGTGTAGACTGCATGGAAGAGGAAGAAACCTCATACAATGTGATCTTCAAATGCGAAGCTCTTACCAGGCGACGTTTCATCCTTTTCGGCTTAGAACCTGAAAGAACGCCCCAGGAACACTTGGTAGGAAACTTATTAAAACTAACCAAAGACACAGGACTATTCCAAATATAGTACCTGAATACGGAGAAAGCAGGGGAATACAATAGACCCAAGAGGCTGCAGTGTTCTGGGCCAAACCTAACCCTAACTGCTTATAACCCACAAAGATAAAGATCTTTATTCCTTACTCTATCCCATTCAGTATTTCCTTAATTTTTGTATTTCATTGCAATTATATTGTGAATTTTAATTTTTGTCGATCCCTTTGTAAACAATTTAGGCATGTTTTGGTTTGTGTCGTAGTCACCAGTTAATTCATTGTAGTGTTGGCAAGATGTCTGACTAACTAACGTCTCTCTTATACTTGAAGTATTCTGTATAGTTATTTTTCACAATGTAACTTTTAATACGGCGGTGTTCACAGTTATATTATAGAAAAAGTTAGTGGTGGGTAAATATTCTCGTTGGTGAAAATCAACTACAAATATATCATAAAAAAAGGTGAACTGGTAAAATTTAAACATTTTTTTCTTTGGTTTACTTTAGAAACATTTTTTTGTGGATCACACTTTAAATTAAAAGTGTCTTTGATCAACTTTTCGTAAAGAAGCTCAAAATAATCCAATAACACTACGGTTTCTCTGGAACCAAAAAAATGGCGACCAATCGATCATCTCCGTCAGTCTGAAATACGAGTAATGCGTCCCCTCTCTTTCCTAGTGTCAGTTAACATACAACCAACATTAAATTGGAAAATTAATAAAAATCAAAAAATGAAAACTGAAATTTGTCTGAAACAGTAATAACGGAATAGGATTATTTATATCTTGAACGGATTTAGAAATTTTTTTGCCAACATAGCTGGCGGTGGTCAAAAAAGTTAAAAAAAAATCTGGAAATATCGAAAAATAACTATAGCTAAAATTTTCTTTTTCAGAAATGACGCTCTTTCTCTTTAAATAAACTCCGGCAAACATTATTTGATGGGTTTATTTCAAGTTTAAATTTATTTTTCAAGGTTTACGCAGCAGAAAAAATTTGCGTATCTAGCGGTTCGTATCATACCAGTTGTTTTTCGTGTGTGTGTTGCCATAAGCTATTGGACATTAAAAACGTCTACGAAAATGGAGGGGAGATTTACTGCAAACGTACGTATTACTTACCTAAATCGCAATCGTCGTTTTTATTAGATAAAAATGCATCGGATACGTCGTATCAGTTTCATGAAAAAGGACCGACAGAACGCGTTACCTTTAAGTCTATAACTTATTTAACACTGTGATAAAACAAAATTTAGTAAATGGCATATGGTAATTTTTCGTCTAATTTTTTGTTTATTTTAATAATTTAAAATTACCATAGCAACAAACTAGGATATTGGCATTAAGAACCCGTTCAAATGTTCAAAAGAATGGTACCTTGATACCTACCAAGAAAGATCTATTTAAAGTATAATCTAATGGTTGGATTGTAGAGTTCTACTCTTCCATTTTCCACTTTATTCCATAAACAAAGTAATGGAGAAAGAAAAAATGAATCACATGATTTTGTTTCTCCTCGCTCCCTTTTTTTTCCACCAGCCTCCAATCATTGCATTACAAGAATTTGAATGTTGTTAATGATTGGATATTTTAGACAACTCCATCATTTGGCTTGTCTTTTTACAAACGGTTTTACTCTAGTTCGGGCATCGTCAGTTAAAGATAGATAGCTAATGTGAAATATATAATCTGCACTAAAATTCACCCCGTATAAAAATATCTTAGGATGTCCACACAATGTGAATTACGTAACAATTTTTGCTCAAATGCCCAGAATGAAATCTTAATAAGTAACTAGCGGGTAATTTGTAACTAAAAATAATCAAACAAGTCGAATTCAATCTCAAATAGAGACAGTCAATCTTAAACGGACTGTTTGACTTAATCTACTGGTTGAACAATTTTTGGCTTAAACATTTTGAAGGTAATATGTATGGTAAGGTATAGCAGTGCCTCTATTGCAGCAGTGGGACAAACACAAACACCTTCTTTAAGTGTGCGATCTAAAAGTATCGATCTAGGAAACTGTGTAATTAAAAGATGTTTGGGCTTTAATTGATCAGGTTACGAGTAAAAATTAGTTAGGTTCGATAGTGTATTTACGCGGGAAAATGGAAGTTCATTTAACCTGTCAGTAGTGAAATCGTGCTAATAGCAGTTTATTTTAGCTTAAATCAAGTGTAAAAAAACCACTGGAGTTTAATTTTAGAACATTTTTAATATTATCATTTACCACCTAAAAATACAAACAAACCCTCTTAATTTTTCGATTATATGTAATTTACTGAAAATAAGAACCTTATGGAATCTTATTTATTGAAATTAATGTTTCCTCCATTATCTTGCCCTCCCCTACTCAATAGCATTAAAGCCTTAGATTAGATATATATTTTGTCTTGAATATACGAGGGATGTTCTCTTACTGCTGAGCCAGTGGCGGCTGGTGGCTAAGTGCCATAGAGCTGCAGAACTGACAAAAAATGCAAGTAACTCGTCTATATTTCACAGAAATTATTTTACACATTCTAAAATATACGTAAAATAAATTTGATTGATAATCTATGTTTGACAGGTGAAGAAACGCAAAGAACCTCATATTTTGTCTAGGGGTAAAAATCTTTATTTTATATAGCCATCGAGCTATCCTATTAAAGGGGATTCTAGATTATACTCCAGTATTAATTGTGGAAGAACGGGTATATAATATTTTCGTGGAATTTCGTTGTTTGGATAAATTCCCATGTTTTTTGGACCCATTCCACACCCGCTAAAGGGGATTCATAGACAAAAAAATTGGAGATCCATCAGCATTTGTGTGTGTAATATTGAATTGGATATAAAGACGGTGATACTGTCAATGAAAACACCCTCCCTGCTATCAGGTTTTTATATTATAATGAAAGTTTCATATGTGCCATGTGCCTGCTGATTTATTAAATTAAACATTAACTTTTAAACGAATGTTCACATGGTATTCTTAACATTTATACTTTTGTGCACAGAATGTTCTTGTGGATTTTTTTTAATAACTTATATTTCACCAATATATTTCATAATTTAATTAATTAAGCACTAATTCAAAATTTTGTTATTTAAGCACTTAGTGTCTCGGCTTGGGTATTGACCATAAATACCTCGGGACATATGGGCTACGTTCACTATTTTAATTTTTAGATTTCTTCTTTATAATAATACAATACTTTACCATAAGTCAGCAGACTCTTAAGACCCATTAAGGGCAGAAATTAGATTAAGTAAAGTAATCTCGTCCAATCTGGGAGTTTCAGTAAATAACTTCTGTGTCTCAAGTCACTTTATGTGTTAATATTTTGTTTATTATATTTCAAAATTTTGTTATTTAAGCCCTTAGCGTCTCGGTCTGGGTATTGACCATATATACTTCGGGAACTAAGGGCCACGGTCAACATTTAACTTTTTGATTTCTTTTTTGTTTCATTACTGATATAAAAACAAGACTTAACTATAAGTTAAGCAGACTTATAAGACCCATGAAGGGCAGAGATTAGATTAAGTAGAATAACCTCTTTTAATCTGGGAGTTTCACTAAATATCACTGTGTCTAAAGTCTTTTGTGTGTTATTAATATTTTTGTGTCTATTACATCTTCTTTTTATTTTGTTTTATAATTTAAATTTAATTATAAAATTTCATGGTATAATATATTTCTTATTAATAATTTGAACTTCACTAAAAGTTAAGTAGGTAACTTCTTCCAATTTGGAGAGTGTTATATGGTTATTGTATTTCAACATTAAACGTTAATGTTTAGATATAGGTGCGGATATTCACATGATTTTTTTTTATATTAAGAACTCAAATTTTTGCATATTATATTGCGCAAGCGTCCTTCGCCTTGTACCAAGCTAACGACCGACCGTGCCACCTGTTGGTGAAATTTTTTTTCTTGGTTCATGCATATGACATACCTTATTTTAATTTCTTGTCATATTTAGCTATTTGGTTATGATTCATCAATAGCCATTAGGTAAATAATCTGTATAATTGTAATTTATTGTGTAAATTGGTAATTTTTTTTAAATGAACATAAGTTGAGGTTTGTCTTTTATTTCTTTCCTCATTTACTGGGTTTGTGGGGAAATAGGAACATAGTTTGGCCACTATATAGACCCAGTTGGCGCCCTCTGGGAGTTTCTTAGAACTTTTGGTAGGTTACAGCTAAAAATAAAACCAGAGCGGACCAGTGGAAGACAACAAAAGCTTGGCAGGTCACAGTAATTTCTTAGCTTGGTCGCTTCGAGGTGGTCTGTGCCTTGGCCGCCCGCGCTCATCGCATCACCACAGCATAAAGTTGAAGCAGCAGGCTCACTTCGCGTAAAAGTTCTCAGGATGCTCAACCTTAGTCGTGTAGCATCTTTCATACATAGCAAAGTCGGTGCATATGTACCAGAATTATAATTAAAGCGGACAATGTTTTGTCCGCCGTTCTTGAATATGAAGCGGCTACGTTGGATTCTCGTGGATACAGTAAAGTAAGGATTATAAAGGGGAAGAACAGGGAAATAAATTCGACTAATTGTTTCATATTATTAAGAAGCAGCCGAAGACAATTAGATGCTGGAATTGCGGTGAAATGGGAAATGTAAGCAGTTCGCACAAACGCCCAAAGAACACTACAAATCAATAAAGCGGGCCGGTGGATGTACAGGAAGGAACGGTTGTGCCTAATGGATGTGAAACTATAAGAGTAAGGCGGATGCAAGGAACTGTAGAGAAAGGAACGCCTGTCATGGTGGAACATTTGAAGCGCAATGAAGGTGTCGGTCAGAGGAGTCTGTTTGGAAAGGGGTTGGCCACATCTGCTAAAGAAGTTGCAGTACGAAAAACAACGGTTGTTTAACAATGAGTGTGCTCCTGTCTCCTGTCAAACTTAGGGAAGAACAAGAGAACGATCCCGTTTTAAAGAAGATGCGATAATGGAAAGAGGAAAATCGTCGACCTACTTAGCAACAAGTACCGAAACTCTCTCCAGTAGTTAAGTTATATTGGGCTCAGTACTAGAGAATGCTGATATTTCCGAAAACTAAAGACAGCTGGTTATTCCAAAGATTAGAGTAGCCAAAGTAGTTCATTTACACGACAGTCTATCAGGAGGATATCTCGGTGTTAAGAAAACCCTTCAAAGGTTTAATTGGATAAACAGTTCCGATAAAAAGGACTGGTGTAAGAAATGTACCACCTGTGCTATGAGTAATGGATCCCAACCCCAACGAAAAAGAAAGGCCGTCATGAAGCAGTACAACGTTGGTTGCCCATTTGAGAGGATAGCCTTAAATATTGCTGGACCATTCCCCATGACCGAGAATGGTAATAAATATATAATGGTGGTTATGGATAATTTTACGAAGTGAGTGGAAGTCACAACTATTGCAGACGTGTTAATAAAAGAATTTATTAGTCAATTTGGAATACCCTAGCAAATCCATACTGACCAAGGCAGAAATTTTGAAAGTCAGCCTTTCCGATGAATATGTGACAGACTAGGCATAAAGAAAACCAAAACTACGGCATTGAATTCACAGTCGGATAAAATGGTAGAGCAAATGAAAATTGGCAAATAACTGTCAAAAGTGGTTTCCAACCATCACGAGATTGGAATCATTATCTTTCGCTCTTCGCAAAGCATATAAATCCAGTGAACACTAGCAAAGGCGCTGTTCGGGAGTGATATGAGACTACAATGTAACCTCGAGTTTGGATGCCGGCCTGAAGAAAACATGTCGGTGAAGATTATGTCATCTACGACAAAAAAATGGCCAACATGCATGAGTTAGTTCGCTCGCATCTTCAAATTGCAAGCAACGGAATAAAGAAGCGATACGATAACCAAGCCACAGTAGGATGTTTCAAGAAAGGGTCCAAAGTCTGGCTCCATAACCCAAAAAGACGAAAGGGTTATTCTTCGAAGCTTCAAAGGTCTTGAGAAGGTCCGTAACTGATTAAGAAAAAATTTAACATATAAGTAAGACCCGAACGGTAAACCAAAGGAAGTAGTGCACCAAAACCGGCTGACGCCATTTGAGGGTGATCATGACGAGGAAGAAGAAGTAAACCAGCTCCAAGAAACA